TTCACAGCACTTCGCCCATGCTCGACGGCTACCTGCTGCTGTTTCTTCTGTGTGGAGTACATGTGGTTTTGTTCCTAGTGTTTTTAGAGACATTAATTTCCACTAACTGAAGAGCCCACAGCAGTGTAGCTGTACAAACAGTGCCGATTTGACTGGAATGCTGTGTGGCTTCTTAATGACTGGTAAGACATTATTTATCTTAACGTCCCCCCTTATCTAAGGAATTGGTGTTTTTGATACTTCTAGTGGTAAACATTTCTCCCCAAAGGAAATCTTGTCCTGCTCCCTCCCCACTGCCTGCACTGAGTGACCTTTGTGTACAGCATTCCATAAAATAGACTCATCCGTTATAGCAAGCATTGTCAGAGAGTGTGCTTCAGTCTAAGCCTGTGCTTACATTTCAGTTTCCTTTTTTGGACAAATAATTTTATCATAATGTTCTGTTAGGCAGATACACTCTTGAGATTTGTTTAAATTTTATTTTATTTTATGTATATGGGTGTTTTGCCTGCATGTATGTCTGTGTACTATGTATGTTAAGTATCCTCAAAGACCAGAAGAGAGCGCCACATTCTCTGGGACTAGAATGACCAGTGGTTGTTAGCTGCCCTATGGGTGCTGGGAATCAAACCTGAGTCTTCCGGAAGAGCAGCCAGTACTCTTAACCACTGAGTCCTCTCTGCCCACTCATTCATAATCTGGTGGTCATTAAGGTTATTTCTGGCCTTTCGTTTTGATTTAATGCAGTTTCGAGACAAGGTTTCAGTAGATAGGCCTGGCTGCCCTGGAACTCTCTGTGTAGACCAGGCTGGCCTGGAATTCACAGAGATCCATCCACCCACCGCTGGGACTGCAGGCATGTGCCACCACTCCAACTTGGATCTTGGCCTTTCCAGGTAGAGCTGCCATGAGGCAGCCCTGGCACAAACTCTCTCTCGGGTGTGTACCTAACAGCATAGTGCTCGTGAGCCTCCCAGTGTGAAGAACTGTCAGGCTGTTTTCAGAATGGCTACACTAGCTCACACTCCTGTCTGTAGTCCTGGGTGTGAATTCTCCACACCTCCAGAGCCGTCCGTGTTGCATGTTTCTGTGGTTCTAATGCCCTCATGAGTGAGCCCTAGAAACTCACTGTGGTTCTGACTTGCATTTTTCTGACTATCTTTTACATATGCTGCCTTCCCATCAGCTGAGCTGTCTGTAAATACAGTAAGCACATTCTTTATGGGCCGCATGCACATATTTACAGGAAATACAAAAGGATGCATAGAGGCAAATTGTAACAACTTGTCTTTTGGATAATGATTATCAATTTTGCCTGAAAAGTTTGCACATGTACTAGGCCAAATATCAGTATTTAGCAATAACCAATTTAATTTCTGTTGGATAAGGAATAAATATTTCATCGTGTCCTTTCCCAAAATACTTCCGTGATTCTATCTTACAATTCTTTATTAACATAGCAATAGCTTCATAATAGTTGAGACTTTCTTTGAAGATGAAGAAAGATGAATTCACAGTAATGGTCCCTTTTGCCAAAGAACTGCTGTGGGTGCACAAGAAGTAGCAAGAACACAAATAGCCAATAATTGATCATAGTCTGTGTAATGTGTCTGATGTTGGCTAATAGCTTCCTCTACTTTCTGCAAAGCTGTTCATCCCTCATCAGTTAATTGGGGGGATTTGCATCCCCCTTGAGACTATCAAACAGAGCTCTTAAATGTCCTATAAAGCTCACTCCTGTGGTGAGCTTAAGATGCGGTCTTAGCCAACTGACATCTCCTAACTTCTTTTGAAAATCATTTAAAGTAGGTAAATTATCTTTTCTTATTTGAACTTTCTGTGCCATAATAGGATATAACTGATATCCCAAATATTAAAAAAGAAATTGCCTTTGAATCTTTTCTGGAGGAACAACTGATCTCCAAGATTTTAAAGCTTGTTGTGTAAGAGCAAAGGCTTTTGTAGTAAAACTCCTTCAGAGGGATCAGCTAATAAAATACCATCCGTATAATGAATAATATACACAGAAGGATAGAAAATCCTAACTTCTTGTATTGAAGCAGCAGCAGATTGTTGACATAATGTAGGGCTGTTAGCCATTCCTTGAGGCAAAACTTTCCAGTGATATCACTTCATGGGTTCTTTAAAATTACAAGCAGGCACACTAGGTGCAAACCTTTTACAATCATCAGGATGCAAGGGAATAGTATAAAAACAGTCTTTTAAATCTATAATAATTTTATACTTAGTTTTTAGAATGGCAGCTGGGGCAGGTAAGCCAGGCTGTGCTGCTCCTGTTGGCCCCACGGTCTCATTAACCTTCTGTAAAGCTTGCAGTAATCGCCACATGCCTGAATTGTTTTCTTAATTACAGATATGGGTGAGTTCCAGGGGGAATTCGAATCTTGAGCTTGTGATTGAGTTGTATACTGCCAGTGTTCCATTAGCTTTATGTATATTTAACTATAATTTTTAAAAGTTTCCTTTGTAATATTAGAGTATAACTATAATTTTGGAAGGCAAAACCAATTTTTAACAGTTTAAACAATCCAGTCAGTCTCTCTAAAATCAATACCAAGTGCATCATTTTCATGTTACAAAGTTTGGCTGCCAGTTCTTGTAAATGAATGCACGACAGTGCAGCTTTTAATTTTTAATACCTCATTAAAGAAATATTGTTTTAAATCCTATCTTTTATAAGTCTGACTTCCAGATCAAAGAATTACATAAAATATCATCCCAATTTAGAGACCTATTTCCCTAGGTTGGCTTATGCCAACCCTGAGTTACCAGTTTTAAGCCAACTTTCTGTTACCAGTGTTACAATTTTTTAAACATACCAAATAACTTATAGGCCAATAATCTATAACCAAGACATACAGAACACATTTATGCATTTAGGACCAGTCAGAAACAAACATGAATTGGCTATACACATTTGCTTATTTAGACTAGACAGACACAATTTTCTTACTTTTTCTAGCTATAATTTCAAGGGAGAAGTAGCCTGCCACCTGCTGAACCCAAGTATTCCAGCACACAAAGTTTTAACCATTTTTTTCTTTTGAATATGAAACACAGAGCAACAATCAAGCAACAAAATGAAACCACAGACATACACTGACAGACAGACTGGCACACCAAGAACAGACAGTAAACAGAGGAAGAGAACCAGATGTCCCACCACAGGGACCCAGATCCAGGACTAGGCATTCCCCCAGTGGGAGCCAGAGAGGAAGCAGGATGTCTCCCAAACTCCTCTTGACTTTAGCATATCTCTAAGCATATGTACCAAAAGCCTTCTACCATTACCCTGGGACATTTTTACAGGGTATACTCACCGCTGGCCAAATTTTCTATATTTTCCTTTGCACAAGGTTCCTTTTTCTGCCACGTCCTTTACTGAACCCCTTGTACTTGAGTCTCAATGTTGAGGGCACCACCTGACCAAGCCAGCTCAGTCAGTCAGCAGGGTCTCAAGGGAGGGAGGGAGGGAGGGAGGGAGGGAGGGAGGGAG